ATATATATATATATATATATATATATATATATATATATATATATATATATATATATATATATATATATAGGTGTTGGCATAATCTGCCTTATAAGTGGTTGTATGCAACGATCTTGACGCATTCTGTGAATAAGTGGGGAGGTGGCTATAACAGCTGAAAGGAAGTCACCTAGCCATGCTTGCCAATCAATGCCGATCCGTTTATCCTTGTGTCTGCCCAAGAATGAACCATCGATCACTCGTGTTTTCTTTGTGGAAAATATACATATAGATACAAACTGACATCTACTTTTGGGACGCAATTTTTTGTTACTCCAACATAGACCTGACAACAGTTATAAGCCAGGCATGTGAAGGACTTGACATATGCACACGTTGCTGGTAGTGGAATACTAGTATAATAGGATAATGACATGCTGAGCAGTAACCTTCGAAACTTCATTGGGATGTAAGGGATTTTATCATTTTACCAGGTAAGTTTCTTACTTACATACCTCTTATATAACCTCTTATATATATATATATATATATATATATATATATATATATATATATATATATATATATATATATATATATATATATATATATATATATATATATATATATATATATAATCACGAATGATTTAAGATTTACAGCGGCAGTCAACTACCGTGCACTTTGACTTCAGCAGTAAAAGTAACAAATCTGTTCAACAGAAAAGAATGAAGTCTCTGGACATCGTAACCGAACAATATTTGCATACATTGCTAATAAACAATTCTTTATACAAAATGTAGGATTTTCACGCTTTCTGATTTCTTCTTAGATGGATGATATTTTCGTCTATGTAAATCAGCATTACAGTGAGGATTTAGAAATATGAATAACATTTACGATAAAAACAAAATACTAATCAAAGAAGTGATAGCCCAAAATTTATGGTGATAGATTATCTTTCTTTACTATTTCTATTCTTTATTATGCTGGTCTTTCTTGTTTAATATTTATATCTCAATGTTTTATGAAAGATGTAAATTGTATTAAATGTACAGACGTTCGTTTGTCTCAAACAATTAATGTTTTTTAGCACTTGATATTGTTATCCACAATAACCGAAATTTAGTCAAACTTCGTTAAATCACCTCTTATGACTATATTTTCAATCAAACTTTAAAAGCTATACAAAATTGTATGTAACATTTACTTTAAACACATATTTCCAACATATAATTATGAAAGTAATGACCATCCTGTAGTTCGTCCACCTTGCATGTTACTCGATCAATGAAGACGATAGGTGCACGACTCAATTGACTACAGCCACATAGTTTTCTATTTTTATTTGTCTATAATATCTTCTCTTTCTAAGTAAGTAAGTAACTGATGTTAAATGTATGCACCTCGTTGAAGTTGCATGTATTATCGAACAATGTATACAGTGTCGTAGTTACTATTTTCGTAGTTGCCAAGTTGGCACGCGATACTCTCAGATAACAAAATCGGGATCTCTAAGTCTACTAATGTAATGTTCATTCTTGCTACCTGGAGAAAACAACCAAAAAAATATCAGGAATATATATATATATATATATATATATATATATATATATATATATATATATATATATATATATATATATATATATATATATATATATATATATATATATATATATATATATATATATATAATACAAAATTCCTATATACCTTGATTTCTTTAATAGGAATCTGGAATGACTGTGTATATATATATATATGAAAATTATTTACTAGGTCGTCATGCGAGTGTGTCTGCTACGCACCAGCTTATATAACACCGATTCAGTGCCATCATTTTTTTGGTGATGCGTGCTTGGTCGTGACGGTATATGGGCTGGTGCGTGCAGGCAAGGCGATGGGTGCCATTTACTCGCGGACCTGGGTTCGAAACTCGGTAGAGTACGAATTTAATTTTTCTAACCTGTATGATAGTATTGTTTGTATTAAACTATTTTTTCTGCCCAATATTATAAAGATTCTACTACAGAATCCAGGGATAGCACAGTCTGTTCTGTCTGGTGTGTATATATATATATATATATATATATATATATATATATATATATATATATATATATATATATATATATATATATATATATATATATATATATATTTTTATATATATATATATATATATATATATATATATATATATATATACTAGGTCGTCATGCGAGTGTGTCTGCTACGCACGAGCTTATGTAACACCGATTCAGTGTTATGTGTGTGTGTGTGTTTGTGTGTGTGTGTTCTTGTGCATATATTTTACGAATGTCATCGAAGATGACATTCAGATGACATTCATTAAGAAGCAAAGAAACAACGCATATGAGTTAATTTGCATCAATGTTCCTAGTTTATGCCAATATTTTTTAAGCAGCAAGTAAATGACAGTAATGGTCATGAATATCATCGTTTGAAACGATTTACATAATGTATAAGAACAAAATTTTCACTGTGTTTATGACGACCTATCAAAGTCAAACAGATCACACTGTTTAAATAAATGATTGTCTTTCTCCTTTACAAATCGCCATTTATCAGAGCAACCGTTTTGAGAACGACATTTGTTTAAAGGGTTAGATTGTTTTTATCGGTGGTGACAAATATTTTGCCTACTTATTTCCCACAGTTCTGCCAAAACATGTTAACCATAAAACTTTGTACCATAATGTTCAAAATGAATAAATACAAAAACTGTCCAATTTACTTATGATGGGAATATTTTCATCCAGTGAGCATGATGATATTTTTTACGGAAATATCTCGTTGATCATCATTCAAGTAATTTGATTGTTTTTATTTAATGACACAATTTTTATCAATAATTTCCTGTTTTTATAGAGCTTGTTTTCGTGTGGGTATATAAAGCAGCATACTTGAGGAGTGATTAGGTAAGAAAAAAAATAACAGCGAAACAAAGTGTTTCGGAACGGTGCAGATGCAGGCCAGCGTTTTGCTTTATTCCCTGAATAAAGTCAACATACAGGTGAACGCATGTGCTTGTCTGAGTGGGAACTAATGAGGCCAGAAAGCATCAAATCAACAAAAAAAATATTAATGGAAAATCATTGTGAATATAGAGAGCAGATATATATCTGTTTAAATAAAAGGGATGTCTTCTTTGATTTAGTACGTACACTAGTTAATTAAAAACTGCAATAAAACGTACGTTTAAACTTATCTTTTGTGTGAAATCATTTCCCTATTGCTTGCTTAATATGGATATTATGTCATAAAGTGTGTATCACTTTTTTCTGTCATAACATATCGTATGTAGGCGCTTATAAGTGGTCAAACTGCAAATTGCTGAGACATAATGTGCAAGTAAATCTGGTTCTATGTTGCTTCGTGAGATCAGTCAGTAGAACAATCAAGGTTCGATTTGCTATCGCATAAGCGCCGGTAGATCAGGTCTATACAGTTTGCAGTAGGATGCGACTTATAATCAAATATGTACATTACTTATTCTTTATTTTACTAAATATTAATTGCCAATCATTCATGTGTGAGAAAAAAGAAATATAAAAACTTTATTTGATAATGTGTTTCCATTAATCATTTTCATGATGCTACAAGGAGAATTTGTTGGCATCATTTTCGATTACCTAAAACGGTTTACCACTTAATGTTCTATTATCAGGAAAAGGCTCATTAATTATTTGGTATTGGGGCATTTGTATTCTAATTAGTGGCAATAATGCACTTCTTTGGATCGGGATAGGCAAGTGAGAAAAAATGGTTTTAGTAACTTCTTTAGAAACACAAAATCAACAGTATCTCAACGTGAAAACTACCAATATACGATGTTACATTAACATGCGGCTTGCAATATTACTGTAGAAATTTCTGACACTTCTATGTTGCTGGACACATTTCCACCTTTTCTTCATTTATGAATGTACATGAAGTAATCAGAATATAATTTTAGGATTTAGTTGACGCTAGTTTCTCATGCTATAAAACTGTTTAACAAAAATTATCCGTGAAGAAGGAATTATACTTTAATACAAGGTACCAAGTTTTCCGGATATATTCCTCGTCAAAAGGATTACATTTTTAAACTTTACAGCATCAACGTTCTCGATAGAAGCGTGTTTAAATACTCTAATAGTAATTTATGTCAGCTGTCACTATTGTTTAGTTTCATTTCCTTTCGCTAAAGAAGAGTGCATGCCAAAATTCTTTTGTAAGGTCCTAGATTTTTTGTTGCAATTACACGGGGCTGTTATATCAGAAGTAATTACAACCAGCATCAAGCGGATGCAGAATGGGTTTGCTGTAGAACAACAGGATACACTGAAATTGTTTTTATTGCAATCACAAGGAGAAAGTCTTGTATGATGCACACCAGGCAGTCTTGTGATCTGCATTACAGGTCGATCAATAACGCTTCCAAGGTTGATCTGCATTACAGGTCGATCAATAACGCTTCCAAGGTTGATCTGCATTACAGGTCGATCAATAACGCTTCCAAGGTTGATCTGCATTACAGGTCGATCAATAACGCTTCCAAGGTTGATCTGCATTACAGGTCGATCAATAACGCTTCCAAGGTTGATCTGCATTACAGGTCGATCAATTACGCTTCCAAGGTTGATCTGCATTACAGGTCGATCAATTACGCTTCCAAGGTTGATCCGCATTACTGGTCGATCAGTTACACTTCCAAACTTAACGTTGCACACATTTCGTGTATCCGCTATATACGAGGTGACGAGTTATACACTCACTGCTATCTAAAAATGACAGAAACTATTTACAGATGCGCACGATCGCATTGCAGGTCGAACAGATACACCTCCAAACATACTGCTCATATGTGTGTATTCGCTTTATGTGAAGTGATGAGTTATTCACTGCCACCTATTCATAACATTGTTTATAGATGCGCATAATCACATGACAGAACATCACTAAGGTTTATACTTTAATTGGCCAAGACTTGACGTTTCTATACTTCTAATCACACCTCTCCGGTGGCTTAGTGGTTAGAGCCTCCGTCTCGGATGCGGGAGGTTGCGGGTTCAAACTCCGGTCGAGTCGCATCAAAGACTTATTTTAAAAAATGGTACTAACAGCTGTCTCGATAGGCCCTCAGCATTAAGAGGTTAGTGTTAGGACTGGTCGGTTTGATGTCAGGATAATGTAACTAGGTGGAACATCATGCTACATGTCTGCTGCATGATGCTCCAGTGCTAAACATAACTAAACTGTAACACTGACATTGTAGCGATATGACTGAAAATTGTTAAAGCTACATTAAAAATCCTAATCACACCCCACTTTAAATCACTTTAGCAGTTTACAAATCCATTTGCCCTAAGCTAGGGACAAGCTCAAAATTCGGATCGGTAGAGCTCAGGTCTACAAGTTTACAAGGTATTTGTCAGCGAGAATGTCAGAGAGAGAGAGAGAGAGAGAGAGAGAGAGAGAGAGAGAGAGAGAGAGAGAGAGAGAGAGAGAGAGAGAGAGAGAGAGAGAGAGAGAGAGAGAGAGAGAGAGAGAGAGAGAGAGAGAGAGAGAGAGAGAGAGAGAGAGAGAGAGAGAGAGAGAGAGAGAGAGAGAGAGAGAGAGAGAGAGAGAGAGAGAGAGAGAGAGAGAGAGAGAGAGAGAGAGAGAGAGAGAGAGAGAGAGAGAGAGAGAGAGAGAGAGAGAGAGAGAGAGAGAGAGAGAGAGAGAGAGAGAGAGAGAGAGAGAGAGAGAGAGAGAGAGAGAGAGAGAGAGAGAGAGAGAGAGAGAGAGAGAGAGAGAGAGAGAGAGAGAGAGAGAGAGAGAGAGAGAGAGAGAGAGAGAGAGAGAGAGAGAGAGAGAGAGAGAGAGAGAGAGAGAGAGAGAGAGAGAGAGAGAGAGAGAGAGAGAGAGAGAGAGAGAGAGTAAAACCAAAAGCTTAAATAACTAAGAACAGAGCTTTATCTACTTTTGAACTTAAAGTTTTCATGCTGACTTAAATTATCCTTTCGCTTAGAAAACAATGTTAAACCGAGTCCATCAATGAAATATTACTGTATCAAATCAACCAATGTTTAACCTTTGCTTTTTTCTTTTTTTGGGAAATGTTGTATCAACTCATGAGTTTTTTCTCCTCCACATATCACCTTGAAATCGACGATATGCATCAAAACAATCTTTGGCAAGTCTACTTTTTAGACTGATTTAATAATATTTCTTTTTTTATCCAGTTAAATATTTGGTAAAAGTAAGTATTATGGGTCTCCTGTTGTAAAGGGCATACTCATTTGGGATCCAGCACTGTCGACATATTTAGAACTCTTCTCGAATAACAAAACTCAATTCTGGCACGTAAAGAACTGTTCTGGAAGAGGTTGAAATGCATGGAGAATCAGGGCTGGCGTCACGCGTCTGGCAAATCTACTAATGCAAACATGTGCAGAAGAAGCATTTATGTACTCGTCCTATTTATTTCTTTTGTAAAGCAGATTTAAAATGCATACGGCACAATGTATCATACCAAATAAGGAGTAATATTAGGCATCTTTGGGCATACTCCTTTGGAAATTGGAATAGTTGGAATATATAGAATTTCAATTGAATATCACCAAATACCACATTCAGTTGATATGGGAAAAGTCGGAACAATAAAGAATCTTGAAGATATTTGTCGGCACTGACTAATCAAGCATGCCCCGCGTAAAACAAGAGTTGATGAGTATACAATGTTTGTACATCGATTGCACTTTTAACGAAATCCAGATGGCTAATCATTATAGACAAGTGGCTTTTATTACCAAAACGGAGCTGTCAAGGAAATCTCATAAGTTATCTTATTAACAATTAGGAACCGACCTAGTCAGATAAATGAACCCTCCAAACCTATTCGGGTACTGATGGACGTTTTTTTTTTTTTTTTTTTTTTTTTTTTTTTTTTTGGAACTGCTCTCAGCCATTCATTTAATCGCGCAACTGATGCAGGCAAGCACTTCTGCAACACATGGTGTAGACGTAAGACACTTGACCCTACCTTTACTTGTCGGTCGGTTGAAGGGTTCTTTCACGATATGTACAAAATATTTCCGAATCCAATCCTATGTTTGACAATTTGTAAATCCTCGTCGGCTAATAACTCTTCTTCCTGAATAAATTTAAAATTACGTGGGTACATACTGCTGTACTGTCAGATATATATAACGATCCGATGTTGCTTCCGCACATTCGCTTATTGGACTCGACGTCAGTGTACCCGAATTTTGTCAACGGAAATTGTGAAATAAGCCATTAGAGGAAGTAGCATCGGATTGGTTGCTGTGTCAGATGGAATAGCAGTATGTAGTCACATAATTTAAAATGGCATCAATTACGCAATTTAGAGAATCAACACCAAAACAGTCCTTCATTATCAGTACGGTGTGTGTGTGTGTGTGTGTGTGTGTGTGTGTGTGTGTGTGTGTGTGTGTGTGTTGGGGAAGGAGGTAGTAATTTATCGGACTTGTACCATCTAATTTTGGTGGGTGGGTCAGTGGATCCCAAATGAGTATGCCCTTTACAACAGGAGACCCATAATACTTACTTTTACCAAATATTTAACTGGATAAAAAAAGAAATATTTTTAAATCAGTCTAAAAAGTAGACTTGCCAAAGATTGTTTTGATGCATGTGGTCGATTTTAAGGTGATATGTAGAGGAGAAAAAACTCGTGAGTTGATACAACATTTCCCAAAAAAAGAAAAAAGCAAAGGTTAAACATTGGTTGATTTGATACAGTAATATTACATTGATGAACTCGGTTTAACCTTGTTTTCTAAGCGAAAGGATAATTTAAGTCAGCATGAAAACTTTAAGTTCAAAAGTAGATAAAGCCCTGATCTTAGTTATTTAAGCTTTTGGTTTTACTCTCTCTCTCTCTCTCTCTCTCTCTCTCTCTCTCTCTCTCTCTCTCTCTCTCTCTCTCTCTCTCTCTCTCTCTCTCTCTCTCTCACACACACACACAAATGTAGTTATTTCTAAAATCCTTATCTACCAATCCATGATATATTTAGATGACTGTCTTTATTCTGTTAATTTCATTTGCATTCTTAACCTTCCTTTTCTCTTATCTGCATATATATGTACCTTTCTCAGTAACTTTAATTATCAACACTCGTATGTGTATTTAATTTGTACGTATTGGTTATTTAATCTCCGTAATTATATGTTATGTACAATTGAACATATTTTTGACTTGACTTTGTACAAAATTAAGGACACTGAGTAACTGTTAAGGACATTGATGTTGTTTTAATTTGTAAATGAATAATACATAACTAATATTTCTCTATGAGGACGGTTTAAATATTAGCATATCATTGCATTTCATGCCACTAGTAAATTAGTACATTCAAGACTACAGGCACATCAACACCTTCAGCACTGGATCTTATTTCGAACATCACTGGAATTTAATCAGAACTTTGTTTTTAGGACTGGTGACAGGAACTTTTGGACTGTTTGTGATTTAATTTTCAATGCTATGAGTTCTTTTTAAATTTTCACATTTTATTTTACGGAAATAAATTATTTGTTGAATTTTATAAAACGTGTTTGTCTTCTCTCTTTTCTGTTACTTAGTTTAAGACCATATAGATACAATATCAATAATTACAAGATGCAAAGGTACCAAGAAAATAAAATTTCTTTATTTGTACAATATTATTAATGTGATTGCTTTAAAACATGCAATATTTTATTTTACCTTATTCAGTTTGTATTTGCTTTAGGTGGTATATTATGTTGCCATAATTCGAGGCAAGGGCAAACTCTCACGAGGGCAAGTTGTTTTCCTGTTAGCTAGACATTGCTGACTTCAATATTTGTAAAGTCCTATGTAACTTTATTTCTTTTGTTATTTCGTCTTTTCATAGCTGTTTATTTCTAAGGGACTGTTGTTTTATTGTGTATAAAGGCTAAACTACAGCTTTGACTTTTGTTTTGGATATATTGAAGTTAGATGTCTCTGTTGTTTAACATGGCAATATTTCACATCAATCCATATACAGTTTTTACTGAATATATGTCGCGTACAATAATTCACAGTGTATACATTACTTATATAGGCGATATGCATTCAGTAGATAAAAGCACATTTTTGGAAATTGTACAACTGTGTAAAGATTCTGAGCAGGACTTCATCTGTCAAATATTAGGTGTAGGGATAAGGCGTTAGTTGCAGGTGATTAAACCATAGTGAATAACTTGTGCATGCATTGGAAAGCAATACTATTAAACACGCAAACTTTTATTACTGAACGATAATTCATGTATCCCATAAGTTTCCTTTAACATTTTGTTATTTTATCTTTGATGGAACATTTACTTCCATTTAGGGAGCTGCGATAACTCAGTTTGTATAGGGTTGGACTGGTAATCCAGGAGTCGCAGGTCCGATGCTCGTCCCATTTCCTCGGTATAATAGAGAAGAAAAAAAAGATTGTAAAAAGTGCCGTTCAAACCAACAAATCCCAAGTCCATTTATAACGTCCTATAGTAATAATTTATAGGTTATTTTAAGTATATATTTTGATATCTCAAATGGACGAGAAGTTTCAGCACCTTGCTTACGAATTTTCAAGTCCACCAATAATATCAGACTGTACACGAAATATCATGCTTAGTATGCACACTAATTCTTAAGTGGTATCAGTTGCCAGATCCCTTATCATTACTGTTTGAAATAAAATACGGCTATTAAAATAAATTATGGGTTCTGCTAATCTTTCTTGAATGCAGGTAAAGACGGGTAAAGTTGTTTGCTTTACAACTCCTATAGTGTAGATGAAGGTAACAGACGTGTACTTCATATGTCGTTTACCGTTTAGAATTTATCACTTTCATGAAAATATGTGCTGTTTGAAGCAGACAAAGAAAAAAACAAGACTGCTTCTGTTTCATTGCTTCTGTTTTCTAATTAATTTTTTTTTAGGAATTAACTTCGGGGTTTTTTTTGCATTTTGATTGAATGTAAACGGTCACGTGATACTGATCTTGATTTTTTTTAAAAACATCGATAAATTCTGCCGACTACTTTTGGCTCCCTGTTTTCATGTCATCCGAT